CTGTATGATTGTCTTGGATAACCCCTTCAGAGGGGTCGGCTAAGACCATTGGAAATATCAGATATTTACATTATGATTCATAACAGCAGCAAGATTCCAGTTATGAAGTAACAACAAAAATAACTTTATGGCTGGGGGGTCACTATAATGTGAGGAGCAGTATTAAAGGGTCACAGCATTAGAAAGTTTGAAAACCACTGTTCTAGACAGCTTCCAAGTGGTACTGTCAATGTCAAGTCTTTCTTGACACTCAACACAGTCTAGTTTGTCTCATCAATACACACAAGGCTCTTCTCTTTCACTCACGTGGTCATCCATTTTTACTGAGCAGCTGTCTTTCCCACCTGCCCAACTTGAACATCAGTATGACCCTCTGGATTTGGTTGTTTTAACATGGGGTCTTGCTATGTGGCCCAGGCTGGCCACAGCTTGGGGTGATGTTTCTGTTCCAGCCTCTCTGGTACTGGGATTACAAGCATGAGCCACCGTCCCCAGCTTGATTTTAGGATCTTAAAGTTTCTAACTCTTCTGGTCACAAAAATACTAATATTCACATTACAGTGTTTTCATAGTGAGCTTAAATGCCACATGAGGGACAGGGTCTGGCTAGGAAAAGCTCTCCCTACTTGTCTTGCCCCTTGTTTCTAGTTCTTACTACTGTTTGCCTACCTTCAGGGGAGGGTTTCTTTGGAACTAACAGTGTGGTTTCATCCCCAGCTGATGATCAATCCCACCTGTGGAGTCAGAATGAATCCAACCAATCAGCTCATTATCCCACTTGGAATAGGAGTCAGCAAGCATCTTCTGGAAAGGACCAGACCTTACCTTGGGTGTGCAGTCCTCTACTGCAACTACTCAACCTTAACTGCTACCAAGTAAAGAAGCCACAGGCAGTACTTAAGGGGATGGCTATGTCTGAGTTTCACAAAAACCTCACTGAAGAGTCAGGTGGCCAGTTTGACCCCACAGACTATAGCTCACTACTCTGGACTAAATGGCAGGCAGCAATATGTTTAACACCTGCATTTTCCATCATCAGTAGGTTTGCTTAGAAATTCTAATCTCTTTTTGCTGTCTGTGAGATGGTTAACTCTGGAAGTCAGCTTAGCATGGCCACAATCCCCAAATATATGGCCAGCTGAAAGATCCCTCATGACGATATATGCATTGTGAGTCAGCGTCCAATATACAGTTCCCCATGAGCTGGAAGTGTTCTCCCTCCATTAGAGGTTAGTCTTTTCTATCAAGTCTACCCGAGTTGAATGAGACTGACCTGCACCATGAATATAATCTGCTTTGTCCAAGTTTGACTGACCTAAAGGTTAAACTCAGCCTCGAAATCCACAGGAACTGTTGCACTAACACATTGTGCCACATTTACTGAGCATTCCCTGTCCGACCAACTTGCACATTCTCTCTTAGGGCTGCCCTTTCTGTGACTTCATGCTGGGCCAGCCTAGTAGCCTTAGCTCCAAATGGAGTATGCTCCCTCTAGAGGAGAGGAGAGGACTGGAGAGGAGAGGAGAGGAGAGGAGAGGAGAGGAGAGGAGAGGAGAGGAGAGGAGAGGAGAGGAGAGGAGAGGAGAAGAGAAGAGTGATCTCACTGAGCTCCTGCCAGGGCACTGGCTTCCTCATGCCTTTGCCCTGAGCCAAAGAAAGAAGCCACTGTACCACTAGACAACTAATTCTAAACACTAAATGGAAATTGTTTTGTTAGTCTACATAAGCTAAGCAAGTGTGTATGGAATATAAGGGACCCTTGGTTGTGTCTTAATGTTATTAACACTATGACCCAAGACTAAAGCCAACAGAAACGACACCAATTAAGGTAGGATCATAGTTTATATTCTTTAAGAATGAGGATAGGGATCACCTGACCATGTAATGAGAACTATGAGAAGGTGAGGTGAGAAATTTAGCAACAGGACTGGATGGTGGAGGAGGGCAGTTACGAAGAGTAGGTGTGACCATGGGGCCAGTAATGGAATGAGGCCTATGGCTGTCCTGAGTATTTGTTTCTATGAATATCCCCAAGTATCTATATTTTTAACACCATAGTGTTTAAATTACAGAATAGTAAGGAGAAATTTTTATCATTATTTTGCATCTTCCTCAAGGAAATGGTTAGACTGTTTTTTGGTTTTTTGTTTTTATCTTTTTTGTCTTTTTTTCCCCACAGTATCACTGTCATGTGTCATGGCCTGGTTACTTGAAAATCAAATGTTCAAAAACCCAGTCAAGTATTTATTCTAAGATCTTTCTGTGTGGGTTATTTTGTTTTTGAGACAGGGTCTTACACTGTAGTTCAGAAATTCCCTCTGTAGCCCAGGTGACTTGAGATAGTCCTCCTGCCCCCAGATCCCAAATGCTGGGTTTATAGGTGTGACTTCCATGTCCAGCTCATTTTTATGTGCCTATATTTAGGATACGATTAACATTTAAATTAGTCAACTTTGAAACTAGCAGATTATACTCCATGGTGAAGGACAGCCTTGCCCAACTTTTGGAAGGAAGAGGTTTGCTGCTGGTAACTTCCCTTTGGATTTGAACCATAACATGAACCCAGTGGCTCTCACTAGATATTTAGACTTGCATCTCTACATTCTCATGAGCCAGTCTTACAGGATATAAAGTAATTAAAATCAATTTCCGCATGTATGTGTGTCTGTACGCACACCACTGATTAGCTCTGTGTCTAATCTTTTCTGAAGTCCTGTTTGTGTATTTTGCATTCCTTGTCCACTCTCCATCCCACTTCTGGCACAGTCTCTCTTTGTAGTCTAGACTGGCCTAGAACTCACTCTGTAGCCCAGAAGGCTCAAGTTTGTTTTCTAATTATGTATCTGCCTATGTGTCTGTATGGGGAATGTGCATGGAGATTTAGGTTCCCACAGGGGCCAAAAAGGGATTAGATCCCCTGGAGCTGGAGTTCCAGGTGTGGCTGCTGGAACAAAACTCCAGTTCCCTGAAAAAACAGTTCACACTTTTTCATCTCCGAGTCATGTCTCCAGCCCCTGATTTTAAACTCTTAAACTAGTGCTGGGGTAACACAATGTTCCATCAGTCCTGGCTTTACTTTGCATTGAGTGATAGAAATTTTTTTTTACTAGAGATATCACTAATAAAGAAAACAAAGTCATCACTTTATTCCGTTAGATTAAAATGAATAAACATTAAACACTATTCTAGGGGAAAACAATACAGTAAAGAGCTACTTATATGCAACATTTGGATCTATTTTCCTGGCAATATGCTGTTCATTGTATCACTAATCATAGGTGTTGTCTTTAAGGTGAGGGAGGCTAGATTTTGGCCAAGGCATTTTGTAGTGGGATATTCACTTTGTCTCCTTCTATGGCACTGACCACGCCCATTGGGGGTGGAGCCATGGGCGGAAGTGACCTGTGGAAGGAGGTCAGAGGGGGCCAGGAAAGGCTCTCTCTGGCGTGACTCGGACAGGAGAGGATCGGGTTGAATTTCCTGGTGTTCATCTGTCTAGGTTGTAAGTTATTTCTCCCTGAATAAACATCTATTCGGCCTATTTGTTTATCCTGATCCTTATTTACTGCGATAGCATTTGAAACTTTAATATATGATATTTAAAGAAATGCCACCTATATAGTATCCATGTGGTTGTTATTAGGTTGAATAAAATCTTTACTTAGGATCTTAAGTATAGTGCCTAACCCTAATTTTCTTTGCTATTGGTCAAACTTTGATGTAAATGGTACAGCTGGTAACCAAGAAGATCAGAGGTGTGATGGAATTCTTCTAACTTACATAATTTTACCCCCAACCTGATTCTCAACCACAGAATCAACCAGAACAGAGTTCTTCAGTTTGGAGAGACCTAAGGACACATGGAAAGTCACATGTGAATCTTTATCCTAAGAGTTTATGGTTCCTTCGGTTACACCTAGGATTTAGTGATTTCTCTCATCTTCTGCAGAAGACAGTAGTAAACAGGAGGGAATCATCTAATTCAAGATTATGGAGACATTTTGCACCATGAGATAATGCAACAGGATTAGCTTGTCTGAGATCCTGGTCCTCTAGAGAGACAGCATCTAGGGCAACAGTGAAGAAAGCTATTTTGTATACACCATTCCCTGCCCCCAACCCAGCCCAAACAAACTAAACCATTGCTCTTCACTATTCCATGATGACACTTCACTTGGAATATTTGGCAGCATTTCTCTTTTACCTATACCCTGGGCAGCCTTCTTGATGGATGATCTGACTCAAGTCCTTCCCTGGATCTGCTTCTGTCTACTGATGCTTTGTGTTGTGTCTCCCATGGATGTCTCTGCACTAAATGTCTGTTGTGCCTACTGAAGTTATCAATAACTACAGCAACAGTCACCATTCATCAAGTACTATAAAAATCAGCAATGAGTAATAGAAGAATTGGCCCCTGGCTCGAGTACTTTATATACAGCAAAATTCTTTAAATACTTGTAAGACTTGGTACCAAAACCTACCTGTAAAATCAAAGGCTTAAAACATAATTTGCCCAAGATCCTAAAAAGTAGCATATTAAAATCCATTCATCTTGTTCAATGTGATCTACCTGTTGTCTCTTAACTCTGAATCATGTGGCCAGAAGATCAGTCACACCTGAAACCTTTCTAATTTTAGGGCTGGGATGTATATTTGGTTAGCATTGCTGCACATCCTCTAAAGGGACTTGAAATTTTGTTCTGGAGAGCAGGTAGAGAGTTCAGGAAGAGGATCATGTTACAACCAGTGCATAGGATGCCAGAAAAGGGCTTACAGTTTGCTAAGCATGAACCCTAAATCTAAAGCATGTTAGCTATTCATGCAGAGCACACCACTGAAAAATAGAATTATGATTACATCTATAACTAGACATAATATATATATATATATATACATATATATATATATATCTAACACACATTCCACATGCACCCAAACTTTGTAGACTCTAGTAATTAGTCATGAAAAGGGAGGATGAAATCATCTATTAAATCACATACCTTCTGGAATACATTGTCCGAGAACAAATTTATAACCTTTGCAGCATTTTTTCCTAAGAGACAAACAAAAACAAAAAGTATCTTAGATGTAATGTCGGGTTGCAAATAAGGTTATTTATAGTTACTGATATTTTATAACATAATGTGTCAAAAAGAATCAAGATATAGAGTAGAGGTGGAGCATATCTGAAGTTAAAAAGAAAAACATTCAAGTCAGATGAGTACATATCTTCCAAATATCAGGATCTGCCCACAATATATGAAACCAACCCTCTGGGTCCTATGAAGTAGATTTATTGCCTCTGGAGAACAATACAGCTTTAGTGTATAAATGAAGGATCACAGGCAGGAGTAGATAAAGTCCTGAGCTACCACCTACTACAACATCTATGTTCTGAAAGAGTACAAATGTACAATGTTGCTAGAAGGTGCTTGTACAAATGTGATTCCCTCTGAAGAAACCATCAGTGATTCAACTCCCCAATGTCAGAACAATCCGACCTCAGAATAGCTCCTTATATGTGGTTCAGTGGCATAAAGGAAACTATGCTTGTAATCAAATAAAACAATAAAAATTTCAGCAAAAAGCAGAAACTCTTATTATTAGAAATTTATAAGGCTAGCCAGGTGACTTAGTGGGTTAAAGTATTGGCACACAGCTTGATGATGATCTGATTTTAATTCCTGAATCCCACTGTAGAAGGTGAGAGCTGACTCCTGAAAGTTGTCCTTAGACTTCTACATGTGTGGTGTGTTGTGCACCCTCATTCTTCCCCTTCTCAAGCAATAATAATAAAGAGAAAATTTATAAAAAACAGAAATTCTAAAACTATAAAACTCATTTAAACATTAAAAAGAAACCCACAAAAGCCCAAACAAGTTCTGCCATAAGTATTTAACAGAAAAATGGAGAGATGATGTAGAAAAGAACACTGAATCAACTAACTGGGCATGATGGTGTACACTATACCTCTAGGAATTGGGTGGCTGAGACAGTTGGATTATGAGTTCAAGGCCAACCTGGGCTATAAAGTGAGACACTATCTTTAAAAGTGAATTAGTAAACATATAGAGAGTTATTATCTACTCTATAAAAGAAAGACAAATATTTGAAAAATGAATGAAGATGCAGATTTAGGGACACGTGGCCAGGTTCAGAGGTCTAATATACTACCAGAGGGGGAGTAGTGAATGAAATGAAAGAATAGACTCAAAAGAATTGTTGAAAATCCCCAAAATTCAGTGAAACAAATTTACTGGTTAAAAAATTTTTATCAAGTACTATAAAAGCTATGAATTCTCTCTCTCTCTCTCTCCCTCCCTCTCTCTCTCTCTCTCTCTCTCACACACACACACACACACACACACACACACACACACACACACACACATGTGGACACACACATGTACAGTTTTAAGGGCTATAGCTTTTTAACTAAGAAAGTAAGTTATGGCTAATCCAGGAGACAATTGTATGGCATATTTTAAGTGATGAGAAAACATCCTCATCAACCAAGAGTCCCAAATTCAGTGGAAAAAAAATCTCCTTCAAGAAAGAAGAACTCTAGACATTTCAGGTTAAAAAAAAAAAAGAGTCACCACCTATCCTGCTCTGTGAGACATACTGTGAGCCCTTCAGGCTAATGGGGAGTCCTATCAGATGGAAACTTAACCCACAGGAAGGAATCACAGCATCATAAATGGGAACTATCTAGACATACATAGAAGGTTTTTGGTCTTTATTTCTACAAAGCCAAAACAGTAACGTTGCCTTACAAGGCTTATGATGCATTCAGATGCAATTACTATGGTAATTAGGGGAATAGAAGAGCAGTAAATGGATCTCCATGGTTACCGAGCTCCAAGAAATAGCAAATACAGCCACAGCTAGTGGAGATCAGCGCTGTCTGACTCACTGTCTCCTCCTTCCATCAATTCCTTTTGTATCAGTTACTGTTTTCACTGCTGTGATCCAGTAATCCCAGAGGACTAACTCAGAGGAGTAAAGCTTTATTTTGTTCTTGGGTCCAGTCCACAGTAGCAGAGAAGACATGGCTGTGGCTGTGGCAACATGAAGTTGTTGTCACATTGCTGCTGCAGACAAGGACTGAAAGCAAAGCTGGACCACAACCTCAACGCATGCCATGTTGCACTGACTTCTCTCAGCTAGGTCTCACCTCTTCCAGGCTCCACTGCTGACCCAATCAGCACCACCATGAGCCCATGAGGAGCATTCACACACAAAGATAATGCCTTCCTGTCTCTTCCAGGGTCCACACAAGCATCTCTCTACCCTTTGCAGCATCATATGCCAGAGGCAAAGGAAAAATCAACATCCAGTGACTGTTTATCTCAAGATTATATCACGATGCTTCTAGTTCACTATAAAATCTAAACTATGATGTAAAAACTCTTATTTCTTTTTAATGCTTAAAGAAATTCTACTTAAGATTATTCTAGTCATGGTGCTATGCTGCGTTCCATCACATTTTCTAGTTAAATACATCCATCAGCTAGGGACTGTACCATATTAGGCCATAGAAATAGACCATACTATGATGACCTCATGAAACTGAAAAGCTTCTGTATTGCAAAAGACACCATTATTAGGGCAAAGTAAGAGGCTATAGAATGGGAAAAGATTTTTTTTTTTACCAACTACACATTTGATAGAGAGCTAATATTAAAAATATATAAAGAACTCAAAAACCATTTATCAAGAAACAAGTAACGCATGCCTCTCTAGCATTAATATAAGGGGAGGTGCCTAGTCTTCTGCAACTTGGTATGCCATGTTTAGTTGATATTCAGGGGAGGCCTGCCCTTTTCTGAGGAGTGGATGGGGTAGAGATTGGGAGGATATTAGCGAGGGGAAACTGCAGTTGGGATGTAATATATAAGAGAAGAATAAATTTTTAAAAATATTAAAAAGGAACAAGTAACACAAATTAAAACTGAGGTACAGACCTAATCAGAGAATATTCAAAAGGGGGAACTCAAATTGTTGGAAAACACTTAAGGAAATGTTCAACATCCTTTTCATCAGGAAAATGCAAGTCAAAGCTACTTTGAGATTTCATTTGATACCTCTCAGGATCTAAAATCAATAAAACAAATGACAGCTCATGATCTCAAGAATGTGAAATAAGGGAAACAGCCACTCATTGCTAGTAGGAGTGAAAACTTATACAACCACTATGGAAATCAGTGTGGGTGGTCATCAGTTGGATGGGAATCATTCTTTCTCAAGATCTAACTGTACCATTCTTGGTCATATACCCAAAGGATGCTTTATCATACCAAAGAGACCCTTACTCAGCCATGCTTGCTCATTGCTGGCTCTATTTATTATAGCCAGAAATTGGAAACAACCTAGATGTCCATCAAGAGATGAATGGATAAAGAAAATGTTTACACATTTACATAATAGAATATTACCCAGTTGTTTTAAAAAAATAAAATCATGAAATTCATAGTTAAATGGATGGAACTAGAAAAAATTATCCTGAGGTAAGTCAGAAAGACAAATATTGTACATATTTGATTATATGTGAATGTTAGATGTTAGCTCCTTGATAAGCAAGCTACAATCCCTTGATAAGCAAGCTACAATCCATATAACCACAAAGGACAGGTAGAGAGCAAGCTACTGTGGGGGAAAAGGGAGAGGGGTAGCTGGATGGGTCTCCCTAGGAAGGGAAAAAGGAATAGTTATAGATTATTGATGGGTGGGGGCCAGAATGGGAGGATTAAACAGAGAAGGGACAGAAAAAAGGGGGAAAGGGAGGGAATATAGTGAAGGACAGCTAAAACTAAGAGCCATTTGTGGCATTGTTTAGAAACCTAATATAGCAGATGCTCCATATAATATATACATATATGAAGTCAATCTAAATGAAATCAGCAAATATCAGGGAAGACATCTCTCCTCACCAAAAGAAGCTTTTAGTACCAGCAATAAGTTACATCTGAGTTTTTGGCCAAAGGAGTTCCATAGGAACGTTCAAACAACCCAGGCTACTGCCAGGGCTATTACTTCCTCTCCATAAACTGGCAGCAAGGCCCTGCAGCTGAAGACAACACCCATACAACTCATTGAACACAGAAAAGTCCAGCCGGTGCCTTCCTAGCACCTCCATTTTTACTGATTAGTATTCATGGTACTGGAAGGTATTGTGCATGCTACCACAGCAGAAAGATAAACAAGCCCAGCTAGAAACCCCTCATTCTACGATAGTGGCCTGCCTGCAATATATATTGGAGAAATGAGGACAAAAATCTTGTAGACGTAACCAACCAATATTTGATTCAAGTTAAGACCCACTCTGTGAGATGGGACATGTATCCATTGCTATTTGTGTGGACAAAATAGATGAACTTGACTCCTTCTTCAGCATATTTTATTAGAAGGAGACAACTACCCACCCAGTGAGCCAACAACTTTTACCATTGACTAGCATTGCATGTGGTACCTCCTGTCATAACCATGCATTATTAGATAATGTGATTGATGACAAACTTATCTACCATCATAGAGCCCTCATCTAGTAGCTGATGGAAACAGAAGCAGATACCCACAGCTAAACACTGAGCCAAACTGGAATCCAGATGCAGAGAGGGAGGACAAGACCAGGCTACAGAAACCCACAGAGGCAGCTGACCTGAACAGGGAGGAGCTAATGGGCCCCCAGACTGATAGCTGGGAAACCAGCATTGGACTGACTCAGACCCCCCTGAACATGGGTCTCAGTTAGAAGGCCTGGGCAGTCTAAGGGACCTCTGACAGTGGAATCAGGATGTATTCCTGGTGCACAAAAGGACTTTGGGGGCAAATTCCCCATGGAGGAATACTCCCCTAACCTAGAGGCAGGAGGAAAGGGGAGGGCCTAGTTCCTACTCCAAATAACTTGACAGATTTTGTTGATTCCTCCTGGAAGGCATCACCCTCCCTATGGAGTGGGAGGGGTTGGATGGGAGGGTGGGGAGACATGAGAGAGAGGGGAGGAGGGAGGGAGGATGGGAGAGGGAACTGGGATTGATATGTAAAATAAGA